AAATACAAAAAAAAAAACTAGCCGGGCGAGGTGGCGGGCGCCTGTAGTCCCAGCTATTCGGGAGGCTGAGGCAGGAGAATGGCGTAAACCCAGGAGGCGGAGCTTGCAGTGAGCTGAGATCCGGCCACTGCACTCTAGCCCGGGCGACAGAGCGAGACTCCATCTCAAAAAAAAAAAAACAAAAAAACAGCTCTGTATAGCAGGGGTGTTCTTGCTCCCAGGAGACGCTCCGCTGGCCGCCACAGAGGTATGCGTGAGAGTGCGCTCAGAGGTGGCTGGGAGGCACGGAGAACGGAGGAGCAGGTTAAGGGTGAATTCCAGCAGGCATTCTCCAAGGGTGAGGTCACTGCCTCCAACTCCCTAGGGCTGTCTGAGACACAGGCACCACCAAGCCAGCTCCAGAGCAGGAGGAGGTGGTGGCAGGGACCAAGGCCAGGGCACAGGGCTGAATGTAAGGCTCTCAGCCTGGTACAGCAACGGGCCCCTCCCATGGTGCTGGGTCCTTATCTTGGGAAGCCTGGTGTTTCCTGTTTAAGATGTGACTGGGGGTAGGGGGCAGGAGAAAGCCACGCAGCTCAACACTTCTGGAGCTTCCAGTGGGTACCAGTGCGCTTCCACCTGCTGAGCCGTGACCTCATTTGCAGAGATGGTCATGAGCACCAGCTTGGAGATGCTGCAACGGGGGCTCAAAATGGTGAAAAACCTTGTCCCAAAAGGAAAGCAGTATAATGAGCAAGAACAAAGAGAATTAGAAAGTAAAGACATTGGGGTTCATTCTTTTCCCCCTTTTTAAAATTTATTTTGGAGCTGGGCACGGTGGCTCATGCCTGTAATCCCAGCGCTTTGGGATGCCGAGGCAGGTAGATCATTTGAGGTCAGGAGTTTGAGACCAGCCTGGCCAACATGGTAAAACCCCGTTTTTACTAAAAATACAAAAATGAGCCAGGTGTGGTGGCAAATGCCTGTAATCCCAGCTACTCGGGAGGCTGAGGCAGGAGAGTTGCTTGAACCCAGGAGGCAAAGGAGGTTGCAGTGAGCAGAGATTATGCCATTCCACTCCAGCCTGGGCAACAGAGCGAGATTCCATCTCAAAAACAATAAAATAAATATATTTTTTTATATTTTAGAACAAGATCTCACTCTGTCACCCAGACTGGAGTGCAGTGATGAGATCACAGCTCACTGTAGCCTCAAACTCCTGGGCTCAAGCCATCCTCCCACCTCACCCTCCCAAGTAGCTGGGACTACAGGTGCACATCACCATGCCAGGCTAATTTTTTTTTTTTTAATTTTTTGTAAAGACAGGGTCTTACTATGTTGCCCAGGTTGATCCCGAACTCCTAGGCTCAAGTGATCCTCCCGCCTTGGCCTCCCGAAGTGCTGGTATTACAGGCGTGAGCCATCGTGTCTGGCCACATTGGAGTTCAAATCTGAGCTCTGAACTCCATTCATGTCAAATTACTTAAGCCCTCCAAGCCTCAGTTTCCTCATCTGTAAAATGGTGGTAACAACGGTCCCTGCCTTTGGGGTTGCGGAGACTCAGTGAGAGGATTCATGTAGCATGCACTCAGTAAGTGCCAGCCGTCATTGCCAGCCTATTTCACCATCGTGAACAGAGCCTCAGAATGGAGAAGCAGCTTGCCCAAGGTCACACAACTTGCAGGTGGCACAGGCAGGATCTGAATCCAGATCAGATTCTTCCCGCCCTACTTCCATCACCGTGGAAGGGCTGGAGGGGCCCTGCTGCCAGGAGGTGGCTGGAAAGGGAGGTTCCTCGGAACAACCAGTGGCCCAGGTTTCCTGCAGAGCCAGGGACCCCAGCCCTGGCTGGGGTAAGGGTCACGCCTCCAGCTGGTGTTCCAGGCAGCGCAGAGGAACTGCGGCTGAGGGCCTGGCAGCCTTACTGTCGCCAGCATCCTGCCCTCCATGGACACGGCCCCAACATTGTTCTCTGGGCCCTTCCCTGCCCAGAGCCCACACATTTGGGATTTCCGCAGCCTGGCCAGAACTACCTTCACTTCCTGGAACAGCTTTCCCCAGGCGGCCGGGGTGGGGTCTGAGCTGGCCCTGGCCCCTGGCAGGGGGAGGCCCTGCTGGGAAGGCAGTGGCAGCAGCACCATCAACATCCTCTTGACCTGACAGGTCCTTACCTGAGTCCTCCCTCCTCAGAGCCACAGCTGCCCTCCTCATGCCTCTCTCCTGAGGCCGGGGTAGAAAAAGCTCCGCCTCATTTCCACTTTAGGGCAGGCTGGAGTCTGGGCATGGGTTAAAATCCTTGCCCTGCTACAAAGATGCTGCCACCTGGGCAAGCCTCCCCTGCCCTCTGCCTCACAAGGGATGCTGGGAAGCCGGAGGTCCCTTACGCTGCCCTGACATTGGCTCAGGGATGACCGGAGCCCCGTGCTCTGAGGTCTCTGGGCATAAGTTCCTCGAGGACAGGGTCAGTTTCCCTCCCATGTTCAGGAGATTTATTTTTATGTTTTATTATTATTATTTTTTTGAGATGGAGTCTCGCTCTGTTTCCTAGAGTACAGTGGTGTGATCTCGACTCACTGCAGCCTCTGCCTCCCGGGTTCAAGCCATTCTCCTGCCTCGGCCTCCCGTGTAGCTGCAATTACAGGTGTGCACTGCCACGCCCGGCTATTTTTGTATTTTTAGTAGAAATAGGGTTTTGCCATGTTGGCCAGGCTGGTCTCGAACTCCTGACCTCAGGTGATCCAGCCACCTCGGCCTCCCAAAGTGCTGGGATTATAGGTGTGAGCCACCGCGCCAGGCTCCGTGTTCCGTATTTAGAAGGAACCTGTGTTTGTGGCCACCAAACGTTCACTCTGAGCCATGCTGGTGCTGCCTGCAGGTGAGTGTGCCTGCCCGGAGTGGTGTCTCAGTCGTCTCAATGCCCACCCTGGCGCTCTGTCTCCTCTGTGGGCTGGCACCTGCTCCCTGGTAGGGTGGAGCTGCAGGGCGCAAGGCAGTGCAGAAGTCAAGCAGCCAGCCCAGCAAACTCGAGCTTCCATCCCTGCCGCCTCTCTGCAGGCAACCACAAGCACTTGGTGTCAAGGATAAAGATACAGGGGCCATATCCCGGGTTGTCTTTAGACTCAGCAAGCCTACGACTTTGTCCCCTTTCCCCGGCTTCCCAACCTGGTGGCTAAAGCCTTTCAGCAGGTGTCTGCCAACCCTGTCCACAGTCCTGGGGCCCAACGTGGCACCCAGAGGACGACCGTGGGCTGACAGCCCAGAGCCAGCGGCATCCCCAGTGAGGTCAGTGTCCTGGAATTGGTCAAACAGGATCACCCGGAGGATTCTGTGAGCACAGCCAGCGTGACTCATGGCCATGATCAGCTTCATGGGCACAGGCTGCCAACCTGGGATGGCCACAGCCACCGGCTCACCTTGCAGGGCAACACACCTTTTAAGGAGAGGGAGCTGGAGCAGCGCCCGGGTCCTGCCTCTGGCCAAGGCCTCTGTCACAGTTCTCCACGCCCACCCGGGCAGAGAGGCCAGACCCCCACTGGGTTCAAATTTGGCATCATCACTTTTCAGACATGACCTTGGGCAAGTCAATTTCTCTGAACTGGTTTTTTCACTTATGATATGGAAATAATACTTGCCTCACAAGAGTGGAATTCGATGAGGTAATGTGTGTAGAAGGTGCGTGGCAAACGGTGCCTTTTAAGGAGTGGCAGTGGGGTCCGGTGGAAAGGGCCCAGACTCAGGAGTCAAGGTGCCCCAGCACTGTGCTCTGGCCCCACCCTGGGCTCACTGGGTGTCATTGAAAGAGTTACTCAACCTCTGATCTGCTCCGCTCCCACTGTGTCAAATGAGCCGACACCACCTGCCTTGTTGCCTGTTGTGAGATGAAGATCACACACACGCCACCTTCTATCAGATGAAGGGAGGTAGCGAGGTTGGTGCCTGGGGGTGGGTGCAGAAGGCTGCCTGGCCTTGAATCCCAGTTCAGCTTCTCAGGGGCTTTGTGAACTGGGGAAGGGTCCTCAACCTCTTGGGGCAGGTCTCAGGTGGAACCTGAAGGGCGACGCCTCCCTGCGGGGCTGCGGTAAGCTGAAAGCCTCAGAACAGTGCCAGGTGCCTGGGAGGTGCCTCCTGAGCCTGGACAGGTCCTGCTCATCTTATCCAGGGCTTTTGGCCTTTGGAGGATGTTCACTCCACGAACTTCTGTCTCCCTCTATGTGACTGTGACAGTCCCTGGTGCCTGGGGTCCTTCAGAGGCCACGGGCCTCTCTCCTCCCTCAGTCTCGGCAGCCTTCCCAAGGCAGTCCTTGGGTGGGCCCCTAGAGAACACAGGCAGTTCTAACAGGAACAGGGTGAGCCTCTGAGAGCAAGCAATACCAGCCCCATGGCATCCCTGGGGCCATAGGGTAGGCTGTCAGATCCCCCTGCCGCCAAGTACCTGACTCACAGGAAGCTGGGGCCTCATCCGGGCAACCGAGCCCTAATGACAGCTTGGCCCTAGGAGTGAGGCAGACGGAAGGCTTTCTTGACTGGCTAGCCTGGCTCCCCAGGCACACTCCTCTATGGCCAAGGGGAGCTGGGGGCCAAGAGAGGGTGTCTGGTCCCAAGGCCCAGAAGTTCCTGCAGGCACCCATGGGAAGGATACCCTGATCCCCACAGGGCCAGGCACCTGCTGGGGCAGCCAGGAGCCCGTCAGACGGGGGTGGCCTCAGAAGGGTCAAAGGGATCAGCTATGCGAGCCCAGGTTTCAGAGGCAACCACGTCTGGATAGAAACCCCAGTTCTGCATCCCATGAGCCTCAGTGTCTTCATCGGGGTAATGGGGACAACAGCCTCTTGCCTTAGAAGGGCACGAGGACTGGCACGTGGCATCCTCAGAATAGCAGCCACAGCTGACAAGCATGATAGTGAACAGGAGGGGCTGGTGGGAGAGAGTGTTGTGGAGTTAGGGGAGGATGCGGGGACAGTGGACAAGCCCCCTGGGAAAGGGTCACAGGTGCTCTAAGCCCACACAGATGCAACATTGCAGACGGTGCAGACCCTTGCTTTATTGGTCTGACTTGTTCACAGTTCAGCCCCTGGCTCAGAAAACCAACGGGCCAGCTAAGGAGCGAAGGAGGTGCCTCGAGACTTCCAGAGTCAAGGTTCTCCAGGGCTCCCCAGCCCATCAATCATTTTCTGCCCCACTGCCTGGGAGGTGAGATGGGAGGGGGCTCCCTGGGGGGTGAGGATGGGCGACTAGAGGGGATTTCAGTGTGGGACCCAGGGTTGCTCTTCACAGTAGGAGGTGGAAGGGATGACTAAGTTCTTTATCACAGACCTGCAAAAAACGAGAGAATTAGATATTATTCTAATTTGGACTTCTTTTTTCTTTTTCTTTTTCCCAAACAGCAGCAGGAAAGAGAAATGCAGGTGAAGATGAGCCAGGCACGAGGCTTCAGATCGGAAGGGACCAGAGATGAGGACCAAGGTGTGGCTGCCTGACCAGGAATGCTGTGGGCTGGCCCGGGCTCTCTCCACGTGTCCTGGGAGAACTGCCACAGGCCCTAGAGGGAGGGATGAAATGCGTGTGGGAGGGAAGACGGCGGTCCCCGGATCAGCAGCAGCACCATCCTCTGATGGCCCCTGGGCAGTCCGCCAGCTCAGAAGCACTCAGGGCTGGAGCCTGGGCTCTAAGCACAGGCCCCAGAGGCCAGACAGGAGGGAGGCAGCAGGAAGGGCTGGTGTGGAAGGGCTGAGTTCTACTGGGGTCCCACGTGGGCAAGGGAACCAGGACTCATCCCTGCTTGTCAGCCAATCAGCTTCTTCAGGAAGGCCTCCAACTGATCCTCATCCTTGATGCCTACAAACTTGTCCACCACGTCCCCATTCTTCATGGCCAGTACAGTGGGCACCGCCGACACCTGGGTGGTGAGGACAAGGGGGTCCAAGTGAATTGGGAATGAACACTTCTCAACTGCCACTCCCAAGCCTTTGTGGGGAAGGCTGGTGGCTTATCCAGGGCACCGATTTCCCAAAGCCATGGGCAGGCCTAGAGGAACGTGGCTCTTCCCTTAGTGCAGGGGTACTGCAGGGCCCGGTGGCCACCCGTTGAAGAAACTTCTTCCATTGCGGGCTTCCAGCAGTACCCTTCCTCCCTTAACCACAAGACTGACTCACTGGCCCAGTGGTTTTGCTGGAATGACAGGAGAGATGAAAATAGCCCGTGCAGCTGCAGGCCAGGGCTGGGGGCAGGGAGGAGCTCAGGGGAAGCCTGGCCCGGGGGAAGACAGAAGCTGGGGGCCAGTTCGAGTCCTGGCTTTGCACTCACTAGCAAGGGAGCCTTGGCCAGGTCACAGCACCTTTCTGAGCCTCAGTGTCCTTTTCCATAAAATGGGGGGTAATGTCTACCTTTAGGGTTTGGGATGAACATTAAAGATTCAAGCATAGGCTGGGCACAGTGGCTTACATCTATAATCCCAGCCCTCTGGGAGACTGAGGCTGGAGGATCGCTTGAGTTCAACAGTTCCAGACTAGCTTGGGCAATATAGTGAGACCTTGTGTTTACTAAACTCCCCCCCCAAAATTAGCCAGGCATGGTGGTGCAAGCCTGTCCTCCTGTACTTGGGAGGCTGAGGCAGGAGGATCGTTTGAGCCTGGGAGACTGAGGCTGCAGTGAACTGTGATGGTGCCATTGCACTCCAGCCTGGGTGACAGAGTGAGACCCTGCCTCAAAAAAAAAAAAAAAAAAAAAAAGAAAAAAAAAGAAGAAAGATCTGAGCATAAACCAGAGCTCAGGGCGGGCGCGGTACCTCACACCTATAATCCCAGCATTTTGGGAGGCTGAGGCGGGCAGATCATTTGAGGTCAGGAGTTCGAGACCAACCTGGCCAACATGGTGAAATCCCGTATCTACTAAAAATACAAAAATTAGTTGGGCATGGTGGCGGGCGCCTGTAATCCCACCTACTTGGGAGGCTGAGGTGAATCGCTTGAACCTGGGAGGTGGAGGCTGGAGTCAGTGGAGATTGCACCACTGCACTCCAGCCTGGGTGACAGAGTGAGACTCCGTCTCATAAATAAATAAATAAATAAATAAATAAATAAATAAATAAAGCAAGCAAGCAGAGCTCAGGTTCTGGCTGACCCAATCCGACTCCTAACAGCCAGGTGAGCTGGGGCATGACCCTCAGTAACTAAGCTTTAGTGTTCTCAGATACCAAGATGGAGATACTAACGGCACTTCCGTTAGAGGGCATGAAAGCTGAATGAAATAATGTGAGTAAAGGCTCAGCACAGCACCCGGCAAATAAGCGTAGGAACCTGGCATTGTGCCTGGCATACAGTGGGCATTCAAAAAACAGTGGCTGCAGAGGGCACAAGGAAAAGTCCAACACAGGCCCCACGAGAGCATGTTAGCTTGCTGCCGTGATGAGTGACAGGGTCCAGAGACTCAGGGACTTCTAGTGGACAGCGTGGGAGGAGAGGCTTGGCCATACACGACCTCACGACTATTGGCGGGTTGCAGGCAGATGGCAACGGCAACATTCTTGGTCTGTGAAGCATTTACTTAGTTCCCTCAGGGACCTGCATAGGTTACATGGAATGCAGATGAGGCTGTGGCCCACCAGACTGGCATCGTGAGGTCTCTGCTGCCTGGGATCCCTGCCTGGCATTCGTGGGCATTTGAGAAAACCATTTAAACAGAACAAGATAGGCCGGGCGCTGTGGCCCACACCTGTAATCCTAGTACTTTGGGAAGCTGAAGCGGGCAGATCACTTGGGGTCAGGAGTTCGAGACCAGCCTGACCAACATGGTGAAACTCCATCTCTACTAAAAATACAAAAATTAGCCAGGCCTGGTGGCGCATGCCTATAGTCCCAGCTACTCGGGAGGCTGAGGCAGGAGAATCGCTTGAATCCGGGAGGCGGAGGTTGCACTGAGCTGAGATTGTGCCATTGCACTCCAGCCTGGGCGACAGAGCAAGACTCTGTCCCTGTCCCCAAAACAAAATAAATAAATAAAAATAAACAGAACAAGATAAACACAGACTTTTCTTACACACAAGTTCACGACAAAGTAAGAGCAGAGATTCACACAAACGTGCCAGGTCTTCGCATGCCCCAGTGCTGCCCTGCCACAGACCATCTTGGAAGTCAGTAAGATTTAGAATGTTCAAAACCCGTGCACATGGTCATTAGGAAAGGCATGCGGGCCAGACCATCCCACCCTCACCCACTAACTTTACGTGGCAGGCCCTGCACCCCACTCCTCATGGGCACTTTGGGGACAAACACAGCAGGTCAGAGGACACAGTCCTTGTCCTTCTTTTTTTTTTTTTTTTTTTGAGACAGAGTCTGGCTGTGTTGCCCAGGCTGGAGTGCAGTGGCCGGATCTCAGCTCACTGCAAGCCCCGCCTCCCGAGTTCACGCCATTCTCCTGCCTCAGCCTCCCGAGTAGCTGGGACTACCGGCGCCCGCCACCTCGCCCGGCTAATTTTTTTTGTATTTTAGTAGAGACGGGGTTTCACCGTGTTAGCCAGGATGGTCTCGATCTCCTGACCTCATGATCCGCCCATCTCGGCCTCCCAAAGTGCTGGGATTACAGGCTTGAGCCACCGCGCCCGGCCTTCCTTGTCCTTCTTAGTGCCTCAGGCCCCTTCAAAGTCAGTCCCTAGGCTGATGTGGGTGGCAAACCCTGTCTCCAGGCAGAGCAGGGCCCGAAAAAGTTTGCTCCAGGAGGCTCCCGGGAGCGCCTGAAGCCACCAGGGCCTTCCCAGGCATTCTTTGGTGCCCTCTAGTGGTCTGCAAAGGCAGCTGGAGCGCCTCAAAGTCGGAGCCTCTTGGCAGAAGCACAGAGCTCAGCCGCCGGCTCCCACCTGCACACTGTCCTATTCCTTTAATTAAAATAAACGCTTTATGCCACTGTATAAGAAATGGCCTAACCTTTTTCATGGCAGGACTCTAAGTTCACTGAAGAGGCTCAGAGAGTGGACTTAGTGTCCCTTAAGAACTCCAGATAGGGACAAGCACAGTGGCTCGCACCTGTAATCCCAAACACTTTGGGAGGCCAAGGCAGGAGGGCTGCTTGAGGTCAGGAATTCATGGCAAGACCTCGTCTCCATAAAAAAATAAAAAATAAAAAATAAAAAATAAAAAAGGAACTCCAGATGAAGGCCATAATGATCTCACTCATGTAAACCTCCACACATGCTTCAACACGCACAGACCCTGCTGCTGTCAGGTAGACAGCAGACGTGCTGTGAATGGAGGTCTGGTCATTACTGATCAAGGGGATTTTTTTGAAGTTGAGCTGAGACACACACACACAAACCCCTCACTAGGGCTCACAGGAAACCTGAGCTGGAATGGGGCTTCCCTTGACCCCAAGGAGGCGGCTGAGGCTCTGCTGCTCCTGTGTTTGACTCACACATCAGGAGGGGCCAGTGCCTGTAAACACTGACTTCCGTGGAAGTTCACAGGGCCTTGGCACACTCTTCTGGAATGTTCTGAGTGTGAAAAAGGCAGTGACTGAGCCAACTGAGGGGCTGAGGAAAAGATACACTAAGATGTGCTGCCTGTCCGGTTCCATGAAGCCATGTGGAACCTCCTATCCTTGGATGAAGACCCTCTGAACTCAGGGCAGGAGTCGGGGAGTGTGTACGTGTGTGCAGTCTCTTTCCGCTAACCCTCAGCCTGCCTGCACCACCACCGAGCTCCATGTCCTGGCATGTCTTCTCCTGTCTCACCCCGATGGCATCCAGCTGTTAACTCAGCGAAGGGCCTACCAAGGGAAAGGTACAGTGCTAGGTGCTGCGGAACGCTGCAACCTCCTCCTCGCTCATTGCAGAGTTAAAAGGAAAAGATCACTGTCACATGCTGGGTGCTTTTTCGTGGCAGGAATGATGTGAACACCTGTATGCGCTATCTCACATTCTCCTGGCTGTGGGTAGCGTCATTTTAATGATGAGAATACTGAAGCTCAAAGGGTGAGCAACTGTTCCAAAATGACGCGGTGTAGGTCGGGCGCGGCGGCTCCTGCCTATAATCCCAGCACTTTGGGAGGCCAAGGAAGGCGGATTATCTGAGGTCAGGAGTTCGAGACAAACCTGGCCAACATGGTGAAACCCCATCTCTACCAAAAACACAAAAATTAGTGGGGCGTGGTGGTGGGTACCTTTTGTCCCAGCTATTCAGGAGGCTGAGGCAGGAGAATGGCTTGAACCCAGGAGGCGGAGGCTGCAGTGAGCTGAGATCACGCCATTGCACTCATTGCAGTGAGACTCTGTCTCAAAACAAACAAGGCCGGGCGTGATGGCTCATGCCTGTAATCCTAGCACTTTGGGAGGCTGAGGTAGGAGAATTGCTTGAACACGGGAGGCAGAGGTCGCAGTGAGCCGAGACTGTGTCACTTCACTCCGGCCTGGGTGAAAGAGCGAGACTCCCTCTAACAAAAAAAAAAAAAAAAAAAAAAAAAAAAAGGCTGGGATCTGAAACAAGATCTGTTTGACTTTGCAGTCCAGGGCATCAAACTCCGTTGTGCTTCTGCCCAGCAGCAAAGAGACAGACATCTACTGAGTCCCAGCACGGGGAAGAACATGTGGGGACGCATTAAAGGATTTCATGCTTCAAATGCAAAACACCAAATGTTTTGTAAAAGCTTTTAGATATGAGAGGGTTCTTGGAAAAACAATTATGGAAAAATTCAAATCCAACTACATGACATTCTGGCGAAATCAGGGAGACAGTGGAAAGATCAAGGGTCGCCAGGGCTGGAGGGAGGAGGAAGGAGAGATGAGCAGGCAGAGCAGAGGACACGGAGGCAGTGGAATGACTCTGGATGATGCTAGAATGGTGAACACCGGCTATGACACATTTGTGCAAACCCACAGAAGGCACAACACCAAGAGTGATCCCCGATGTA